AGTTAAGCTCAGCAAATTGGTCACGGACTTGGATGATTTAAACGTGGAGCAGGCCATGTATCGTGCATTTGATGTCACCGTCCGCCGGCACCTTGATCCAGTGTGGCACCGCCTGAGCCCGGCAACGAGGCAGCTGGTGGGCGACTTGTATACCCTAAGACAGCTCCTGCATGCATTGCTGTCCTACGATTCTGTCTCGTTCTATGAATACCTCGAGACGATCTTGGCGTCTAATGCACCTACGTCAGAGCCGGGAGCCCCGCAGCGGCAGTCGCAGTGGCTCATGAGTGATGAGGCCAACATGATTTTTCATGAGGCTAGAGCGAGGCTGTGGCAAGAAAAACAGGACGAGGAAGGCATGTCGTTTGAGCTGGAGGAACTTCCTAAGTGGAAGCTGTTGGCCAAAGTATTGGACGAAGTGGAACAAGACATATACCGCGACGACTCATCTTCCTCACATACTATTCTCATCATGGTCCAGTCTGAACGCACAGTTGCTCAACTTCGCACATGGCTGTCTTTGGCCGAGGGAAACACAGCTTCTCCTGGCAGACCATATTTGACAGCATGCTTGCACAACTACCTTGCATGGAAGAAGAGTCTCTTATCCTTCCAAAAAGAGCACCACGTTCGCTCAGACACACCCGAATCTCCGAATCCATCGTCTTCGATCCATGAAGCCCTGCGTCACAAAATGATGCGCACAGGCGCTCCGGCGCATAAACGTCGTCGAATGCGAGGAGGCATGTCCCAGACATCCAGACCATCTTTCGCTGAGGACAACCCATTTAGCGAGCTGGATCATGTTGCTGCAGCTATGGACCCCCCTCCCGCATTGCTTGCTATGGACGAAAGTATGGAAGAACAGGACCCTGGCTCTACTGACTTCTTTGGTCTGTTGGATTTGGATCATGTGATTGTCGTTCAGAGCTACCAGGGTGATAACAATGACAATATCCTGCAGGAGCTGCGACCTGGTTATGTGATCATGTACGACCCGAATGCATCATTTGTGCGACAGGTCGAGTTGTATCGTGCTACACAAAGCCTGTCATCGGAGCTCCGCATTTACTTTTTCCTGTATGTGGATTCCGTGGAGGAACAAATGTATCTCGGTGGTTTACGTCGCGAAAAGGACGCATTTGAGCGCTTGATTCGCGAAAAGGCTACCATGGTCATTCCGCTCACCGCCAATGGGTTGCCTGCGGAAGAGGATGCCGATCAGCGAATGGTCCGAATGCTGAGCACACGCATTGCCGGTGGCCAAAGGCTTGCATCCGGGCGCCATCCTAGAGTGGTAGTGGACATGCGCGAGTTTCGATCGAGTCTGCCATCTTTCCTTCATGCTGCCGGTATGGAAGTGATACCCTGCACGCTCCAAGTGGGTGACTATGTCATTTCATCCGACATGTGTGTGGAGCGCAAAACACTGACGGATCTGATGCAGAGTCTCAATTCAGGCCGCTTGTATACCCAGTGCGAGGCTATGTCTATGCACTACCCCTACCCAATCCTACTGATTGAATTTGACCAGGACCGCGCTTTCACATGGCAATCCATGGGCGATGTCCGTTCTGCGCATGGTCGTGCACAAGCGGCACGATCGACGCCCTCGGACCTCGACGTCCAATCCAAACTTGTTCTACTCACACTCACCTTTCCGCGCTTACACATCATTTGGTCGTCTTCCCCTTATGCTAGTGTGGAAATATTCGCAGACCTGAAACAAAACTATGACGACCCGGATCCTGAACGTGCTGCCTCTGTTGGTCTGGACGACTCTCTACAACGACAAGGACAACGCGAAGCTTCATTGAATATCACGCCGTATGAAATGCTTTGTTCTATGCCCGGCGTCACACTCAAAAACGCTGCTTACCTTGCGCAGCACATACCCAATATCCAGGTTTTGTGTGAGACGCCCATGTCCGATTTGCAATCCCTCATCGGGGCCGAAGCTGGGCGCAAGCTGCATCAATTCCTCCATCGAAGCCTGGCTTGATAGAATTTTTCACATATACCCCTTTTCTATGTAAGCCCCCGTCCTGTGCCACGTCCTTGCTTTGTATACGCGAATGTCTGGACTGCTTGGAAAAGTGGTGCGAATCGATGCAGAGGGCGCAGCTCCTTCCCTGGCCGCCCTCCCTGAGCTAGCTGCACAAGTAGCGTCACAGTGGAAGGTGAGCCGAGCCAACGCGGCCAAGCCGGGTGAATGTCGCGTACTGTACCCATCGTCCTTTCACCCGGTGGCTGCTGTAGCTTCTGGCGAACAAGCGGGAGCTCCGCAAACGGGCCCTGATGCCTTGCCGTCTGCTAGCGTGTTTCTTCGCAACGAGCGCCTTGAAGAGACACGTCTGGCTGCCGCTAAAGGTGTCCGTGCGTTGCGCGACTTGGGCAAGGTGAACGAGGAAGGCCAATGCATTGAGGTTGATTCCTTTGCTAGTGCCCACGCCGCTGCCGTTGGAGCGACTCTTGGCTTGTGGAACGTGAACCACTTCAAGACACGCGGCTCCGCGCCTGCCTGGAGCTTGCCTCTTGAAAAGCAGGGTGGTCGTCATATTGAGGCTGTGCCTATCAACGGCCCTGTTTCGAGTGAACAAAAAAAGGCGCTGCGTGATGACGGCGATGAACTGGCTTCTTCTGCCACACCTTTAAGCTGGTACACGGGTGAGGTGTACGCGCGCGCTCAGAACTGGTCGCGCGAACTGCAAGAAACACCTGCCAACCTCTTGACGCCCACGATTTTCGCTCATCGAATTATGGATGCATTCAAACATGTACCCCACACAAAAGTCGTGGTACATGATGCAGACTGGGCGCGCGAGCAAAACATGAATTTGTTCCTCTCGGTGGCACAAGGTTCCGAGCAGCCATGCAAGTTTGTCGAAATCCAGTATCATGGCGCACCTGATGCCAAGGCCGCCCCCCTGGCTCTGGTCGGCAAGGGTATCACGTTTGATACGGGTGGCACGAGTCTGAAGCCCAGTGCTGGCATGGATCTCATGCGTGCCGACATGGGTGGTGCTGCTGCCGTGGTTGCTAGCACCCTAGCTATGGCCCAGCTGGGTCTTCCAATCAATGTCGTCACTGTGACGCCCCTCACGGAAAATATGCCGAGTGGTCGCGCCACCAAGCCAGGCGACATCTTCCAAGCTCGTAACGGTCTGACTGTGCTGGTGGACAACACTGACGCAGAGGGTCGCCTCGTGCTAGCAGACGCGCTGTCGTACGTGACAGATGTCTATGCACCCCACACGGTCATTGACGTAGCCACTCTAACCGGAGCCTGTGTCATGGCTCTAGGTGATGTGTACTCGGGTGTATTTACGGAAGCCGAGTCCTTGTGGCAGGAAATCAAGACGGCCGGTGAGGCGGAACACGACCTATGCTGGCGCATGCCGCTCACTGACAGATATTTGCCTCAAATCTCCAAGCTCAATGCTGATCTTGTCAACACGGGTGGTCGTCCTGCTGGCTCATGCACGGCTGCCATCTTCTTAAAGCAATTCGTTCATGGCCTCGAGGACCGTGCCAAGGGTGAAGCCGCCCGTGTGCGATACGCCCACATTGACATTGCCGGCTCTATGGAGGCCGCAGCCAACACGCTCAACGACTACCAGAGTAAGGGACTCACCGGTCGCCCAGTTCGTGCCCTCATCGAGTTCGCACGTCGTTTAGCCTTTTCCTCGTAGACACTTCTATGTGATTCATGGGCGCAATTGCTGAACATTCGCAGAGTGCGCTTTTCCGTCCAAGAGCAGCTCGGACATGACTTTGCCGGTGCCCAGACTGTTGCTGATACCCCACACAGCATGTCCTGCAGCCACATAGATACCCTGCTCAGCCGAGCCGCCCAAAATTGGCGCGGCCGTGCGCGGTGAGATTGGCAAGTAACATGCTTGTTCCGCCAAAAGCTTAGCACCGCGGTTCACGTCCAGATACTCGGGACTCAAGACGGCCAGCTGCTTCTGAAGTTCAGCCGTGCGCCTAGGATCGAAGCTCACATCGTCTGCCAGTTCAGGAACGGGCGCATCATCCGAGCCACCCGATACGTACGCCATGCCTTTGGGGCGAATGTAAAATTCAGGCGCACCAGCCGAGCTGCCATAACGCATCTCTGAGAAGAAGCAATCAGCTGAGAGCTGATGCTTCTTGGCCGCCTGAACCAAGACACTGTGCGAGCGACTTCCTTCAATCATCGAGGCCGAACGCAGGAACGGCGGCATCTTGTCGGATGGGAACCACGTCTTGAGTAGTTTGCCCGTCCATGGACCCGCAGCCACGATAACATCGGTGGCAGGGAGCACCTTATCTTCACCCGCCTGCTGGATCTTGACGCCTTGAACTTTACCATCCTCCGTCAAGTCTAGGCCTGTTGCCTTGGTCTGCAAAAGAATCTGCACACCCACTTCTTGCGCACGCTCACCCAAAAACTCCGTCAAAGGACCGGGTGTTACCTGCGCTGTGGACCCACCACCACCGATAAGACTAGTTGAAATGAATACATCTGGATTGAGCCAGCCAATCTTTGGTCGATGACGAGCCTTGCGAGATGTATCCAAACTCAGTTGGTGCGTTTCCACACAACGGTAGCCCCAGCGTTCGGCACCGTTCTCTTTTTCAGCCAGCTCACGGTGCAGCTCAAAACTCAATGCAGCCAGACTCGCCGTGGAAGTGCCATGCCAGTCGAGTGCCAAAAAGCCGCCTGCTTTGCTTGACGCTCCAGGTGCCAATGTCTTGCTCGATTCCAGCAAAGTCACCTTCGGGCAGTCTGAACGCCTGCTCATATAGTAGGCGATACTGGCGCCAATAATACCACCACCTACTATAACAACGTGTCGGCTTTGTTCAGGCATGATGGCGTGAGAAGCAAGCATGAAAATGAACAAACTTGCCCAAGAACGTATCCTGCCTCACCACACGTGGCGACACATGTGGTCACGATCCTTATCAAAATCCAGTAAAAAAAATTTCATTTTGGCACAGATAAAAATTAGATTTGGTAGAACTGGGATTCGAACCCAGGATAAGTAGGGGACTCGATGAAACCATCGAAGAATTCAACAACACTTGAATCTACCGCCTTAGACCACTCGGCCATCCTACCAAGAATCCCTAGATTTTGTCATTCATTATCAATAAATTATTGCTAATTGCAGTGGTTGCTACTTTGTCGTCTCATACTACTATCTTTCCCTCCTACGTGCAGTTCATGGCCACAATCGAAACATATCCTACAATTTGCAACGTTGAAGTGAAAGAGATACCCCAAGATATCATCGCTACTAAATCATGCACCAAAGCATTTTCTAGCGGCAATGATATGACAGTCTTGTGTCAACAGTACGTGGACCGTATTTTTGTTAGTGCATCGCAAAAGGGCAAGGTGGGATATTTGGTACGTATTTGCCGTCTCATAATTAGTTACAAGCTCACGTACAAATGCCTTTTGCACAAACGTATTCGACCGAATATAATTCACATTCGGCAGACGAAGCACGCGAACCTACCGTGTCTTTCGTGCCGTTATTTGGCGCACCTCCGAAAGGTATGGAAGACATCTACCTACTCTACGCGAAGCAACTGGCGCTTCACATTTATTCCGACTTGTGCCACCCTGAATCTATGAAGAGGGGAGATACTTGTAAGCCATTGGTAATCGCATTGGCTCTAGATCGTATGCCAGCGGAGAATGTTGACGACATCGACTTTGTGTCAGAGCGTCAGCGTTTAGACCAGATCTGCTCCATGATGCAAGAGTGTCGAGTTTGGTAGGACCTGGGTGTAGCCAGGGTTTATATACGTAGCTCCACCCTGCTCGTCTCCACAATTCGGCCCATTTTGTTCGAATTCAACGGTCAACTTGCGGAACTTCTGTCATGACGTCAGAAGCTCCGGGCGACGAAGTAAAGTCAAACGCTTCAAACCCCTCCCAGCATACCCCTCCAAAGTCTTCTGATGCCACAAAAATCATTTTTGATGACGATGGAACATCGCACTCTTCTAAAATAAAGGCTCAACGTTCCAACGATGCCGGGATAAAGTATATCGTTTTTGTTGGTAATATGTCATACGATGTCACAGCGGATGATTTGGCGAAGCACATGAGCGATACCTGTGGCGAAATGCCGAAAGTACGACTGCTCACCAAGAAGGGGGATCCATCTGCGCTTGAAAAATTATCCAACTCAAAGAAAAAGTCCATCGCAAAGGGTAAGGCTCAGGATCCATCTGCACCTGTGTCCAAGGGCTGTGCTTTTGTGGAATTTTCAAATGCGGCTTCTCTGCAAAAGGCACTTCGTTTTCATCACTCCATGTTCCGGGGGCGGCAAATTAACGTTGAACTCACTGCTGGCGGTGGTGGTAAGGGCGAGCGTCGCAAAGAAAAAATCAAGGCGAAGAACGCTGACTTGGATAAGGAGCGACGGAAGATATTCGAGAAGTATGTGAAACCTGAAGCTGAAGCACACAAAAGAAAGCAAAGCGAACGCTCTGAACAAGCGCCTGATCAATCCAAGCCCGATAGAACGACGCCCCCCTCGAAGCAACCCAAATTTGCTAGTGGCGCCAACGCGGTTCGGTTAGGCTAACTATAAGACATTCCATAAATTAACACTATACAGGCTCTAGAAATGTGGGACGTGAATGTGGCAACCAAAGCGTCGGAAGTGGACCTGTCAGAGATGGCTGCTTATATGTCCTCTGACTTACGCTGAGCAGGCAGGAACGACTCGTCATCACAGAGGAGCGGCCAGGATGCTCTTCTCCTGAGGGTATACTTGAATGTGGCTCATCTTGATATGCCTCGTTCCGGTGACTCAATTCTTCCTCTGTGGCATAGATATCATGCAAGTTCACAAAGGACGTGAGAGGCAGAAACGTTTTCTGCACATGGAAGGCAAACCATATGGTATAACCAATCAGCGGCACAATCAGTAAACTGTTCAACACTTGCTTCCGTACAGAGAACAGGGAAAGCTGAAATACTTGAAAGAGCACCACTGCCCAGATACACCTCCGCACAGCCAATGGCCATGCATGTCCATGTGAATCGTAGGGTCTGTCAAACACGTTCAAAAGCTGATACTTGACGACCACATAGCCAATACCAAAATACAAGGCACCAAACACGCTGATGCACGGACTCACGATACTGTAAAGAACACAAAGTGTAAAGATCAGAAGGGCTTGTGGATACAGTGTTCCGATATTCAGTGTGGGCGCAGTGAGCAAATGCGCCCAGCGGCGGGGCGTCATTACAGAAAAGAGACTCTCAAATTGCCTGAGTAGAATATTCGGAAGGAGGACCAGTTGGAAGGGCTGGATCGCCAGGCCCTGAAATATGACATACGCGAGAGAAAAGTTTCGTGCCACGGGCAAGGACTGAGCGAGCTTGTCAATCATGTGCATAGGGCTTTCTGACAACTCATTGAGCATATCGCGGGCACTCGTAAACAGAAAAACAAACACCACAGAGAACAGCAAGTACAGATAGTACATACCCAAAACGCTGTGCTCAATATGCGAGTACGCACGAATACGCTGGAACCATGTAGAGTATCTCATCGCCACGGGAACCAAGGCGTTGACAAAAATCAGCAGCAGAGTAGGGAGCGAGTTTTGCACAAACGCACGCAGGCGCAAATTTTCATCAATCAGATCCCCCAACCATGGAAAATAGACCTTGATCCCATTCAGATTTACCAAAGATGCAAGTATCAGATCCAGTGAAAGCGTGATCGAAAGGAAAATAGCCATACTAAGCGCCATGATGCATTGCCGAATTCTCCTGTCCCATACAGCCGTTTCCTGGTGTTCCCAAATGACGTCTCGTGGCTCCACGGCCGGCTCCGTAAGCATGCGACCAGGCGAAGGGTAATGCACCACCTGTCCAGCAATTTGCGCGCTCCATGTATTTTGGAAAGTAACAAAAGCAGTGTGCGTGTGAGGAAAGAGAGAGACGCGTAATTCACGCACGGCTCTATCCAGTGTCGCGAATTCATAAGATGCTTGATCAATGGCATCAACATGTTCTCCTGCCCAGTTCCACAGAGGCACACAGGTGCGAGGGCGCTGGCGATTCGCACGAATATGTGTACCAATCATCGGTGCATCACCCGGTTTAGGCGGTTCCGACATCGCCAACGTCTGATCCTCAATCGCTGCTGGATCATAATTCTCCACGGCGCTGTCGTCACCAAGCCACGAATACCATAAACGCTCCAAACGGAACAAACTTCGAGCTCGTTGCCGCAACAATCTGTCCAGGCTCGATGTATTCTTGAGGATGCAAACACTCTCGACGGGCAGGCGAATGCTCTCAAAGTAAGATATGAGCGCCTCATCTGTAGTCAAGTGTTCGGGTAGCATGTACACTTCCACAGTGCGCGAAGTGTCTGACTGCTCCAACGACCCTGAATGGCTCTGTCGAAAAGAGATGAACACACGATAGGCACGCCACAACATAAACATAGCAAGGAGCGAGTATGCAAATGTGCTCACGAGCTGCGTATTTTCATACAGCGTATCACGAGTGACAATATTTGGCAAGGGAAGCAATGGCAGAGGCTCTTTTGGTTTACGCAAGTGTCGCATGGGATAGAAAATCGAATCGCCCAAAGACTCGCCTGGTTTGACGCCATCAACCCAGCCATTAGTGTAAAAATGCACAGGCATCAACACAAAAAGGGCCCAGATACTGGTTAGGGTCAAGTACATAAAGCCCATCTTGAAAAAGAGCAGTGCTGTGACAGCATCCAATCCCACAGTGTGAAGAACGCTGTGGTCTGAATACAAGAGGGTGGGTAAGATCCAGCCAAACATGCTGTTACGCATCCGATCATAAGGTAAAGCGGATCCTTGCGCATGATGTCTCGCCAAATATACAGATGGATAATGCCGCTTCCACACACCAAACACCAGGACGGCCAACAGCCCGACGACAAAGGATAAAACAACTTGTTGCTCAAGCCATGGCCCAACGAATGTCTTACCTCGTGGACCAGGGCGCTCCGGCACCCGATCATCAAAATCCATACCACCGTGTTATAATACACGCGCCGCTGCGACGTCTACAGCCACGGCAAGCGGGATGGTCAACCTCCGCCTTGAGTGGACCCAGCGTTGCCGCTTGAGCGCAATTCTTATTTTTAGTCAACGATCCACTGACTTGGTCTTTTCAACACCATTGCGGACCATGGAAGAAGATGACAAGGTAGCCCGAGCGAGCCCTGCGCAGGGTGACTCGGATGAAGAAGAAGATATGCCAGACTATCGCGTTCTCTCAGCGCTTTCTTCCAAGCATCTGACGACTGCCGGCATGTCTACGGATGCATCCGCGCCATCTATTCCCAAGCGCGGAGAAAAGGATTTCGAGCCAACCGGATTCGGTGGTCAAATCAAGGTCTTGGAACAGAGCCGCCATGCACTATTCACAACGATCTCTCTTCCTCGCGCACATTCAAGCAAGACTCTATGCACAGCCACTTGGGACCCACATTTCCAACGTGCATTTGTGCATGCGCAGCGAGGTCAATCCTGCACACATATGGGCGTTTCACAGCGTCGCCGACTGGAGAGTGGGCAAAACCAAACATGCTTGGAACTCTTCCCAGAAGAAACCATCTATCTGATTGAACGTGGTGCGCTTGACTGTCGCTGGACTCAGACACCGGGTGCTGTACCCTCTGCTGACGCCTTCCTATCTTGTATACCCATATCGGCTTCTCAAGCCTTTTCTCACTTGATGGGTCAAGACGGCTGCACCATGGCACGTTATCAAATTTATGCATACCTTAAGCGTCTTGGATACATTGTACAGCGCGCATCGCTCGTGGATCAATTACGTGCTACAGCCTCGTCCAAACTGCCCTCACCAAAAAAAAGCGTACTTGTGGGGCTTTTGTTAGGCTGGTGGCGTACATGCACACGTATTTGTTTCATGATATATCAATTCCTTCGATGGTGTATCCGAAAGTTATGCACGAGGCAGCGTGGTTTACTTGGCATCTCCGCCACCGATTCATTCGATACTGTATTCGACACACTGCGGATTGTAGCAACGGATGAACCAGAGTCGCCAACAAAGCCTGTTCGGGATGAATCACT